AAAAAAAACATTTCACTGTGACGAGCGTGCACTGTACGCCAACTGCCTTAATCTCGTCTAGCTAAGAAAACAGAACTGATTAATGTTTATATTCTTGGAATCTGAACAAGTGTTAGCTCAAGTCATGAAATGTTAGCAAACTGGTGTGGGAACTTCCCCACTCCACAGCCTGGCCGTTCGCCTTATAAATGGAAAGTCAATGACAGCCTTAAAATTTATTCTATTTTCACATCTTCTTCATCTTAACTTTTGCTTGCTTTCTGTGGCAAAATTACAACAAATATAGTAATTTACACTGTATATAAACTTCCCTCCCCTCATCCAGTAAAAGAGGAAAGAGCTTAATCAACATTGAAATGTTTTCAGGTTTTGAATTTGTAGGACACGTCATGGAAACACTGACTAGCGATGATCTTGGCTGTGGGTTAAGATGTCTTAGAAATGAAAAATGTCTATCGTACAACAGTCACACTTATGGTACTTGTCAGCTAAGTAACAGCAAAAGGCAGTCGAGTCCAGATCACTTGAGGCGCAAGGCAGGCTCCACATATTATGGCAAAGGTAGAATAGTTTGGAGCAAAAGTTACATGTAATAATTATCTGCAACGAGGTCCTTTTACAGGTTTTTGGGATGGGTTAAAAATCAATAGGATACAGGATATTTGGAGGCAAATTTATGGCAGGGACATGGGATATTTAGACCAGATAGCTGAGGGGATATCGAGTAGGAAAATCGCCAACTTTTGCAATTGAAATAAACTGCATACGGGATATTTAGGCCAGAACCCAAAGGGATGGGGGATACTCAGATCCCTCTCCCCGCCCTGTCACCCTAAAGAGACCTCCGCAATAAAATGCTGAAGTTCAAAATTTATCCCGCCGAGGCGCAAACTCATTGGACGACTTGTTATTCCCTTTGGGTTTGGAATTTAAAGGTGTCTTGCTGGAAAACGAAGGCTCTCATTCAAACTAAACTCGTTTTCAGTTCGAAGGCTTTTACAGCAGATCTCGTGACAAAAACAAAACCCGAGGATAATAACCGTTTTATCACCTGAGAGTAGTTAGCAAATACTGATTACGAAACATAGCTAGCTGTTCATCGGTTTCTTTACAGCTGTCAATTGGCAAACAACAATAAGAAGTTGTTCATATGGTTCCTATAACATCAGATATAAGATTTATGAAGTATAAAACAATAATTTATGAAAGAGCATTAAATTTATGGTTTATATCCGCTAGCCTTTTATTTTAGCTCAATCAAGGAACCGTTTTATGTATCCACGGGAGAATACGTTAAATTTTGACAAATACTCTGAGAAAATTGAAGGAGTAACTATTTAATAAACAAGTCATCTCATTTCTTAGTTAATATCGACGTCCTGGGTTGGTTTTCTTATCATCCGGGTCATTCTTGTAAGCACATCCGGGACTCTGGGAGCTCCAGAGGAGATGGGGAGTACTGGATCGACCCTGAGAAGAACGGAAACCCTTTGAAAGTCTACTGTGACATGACAAACGCAGAGGGTAAGCGATGGACAATTTTCTAAAACACAAGATGACAACTTTATAGCTTGGAATTTATCTTCTTTTTTACTTATCGATCAAGAATGTGCGTTTTAAAAAGACTCCGGCATATTTCTGACAACCGTTTTTGTTGTTGAGGCAGACTAATTCTTTTTAAAAAAAAAAACGTATGAATATCATATCTCAAAAAGGCCCTTCTCTTTATATAATAGTTACTCGCTTTAAGCAGAAGTGGCTGGTTTACGCCTACAGCTAGGAGTCGTGCGTTTGCTGAATGTCACTGGGAAGCAGGAACAACTCACTGGCAAGAACGCCGGCCTCCTGCCGTCATAAGTGGGTGGAGTTTGTAGTTAGTTCAATCGTTCTTGATTCGAGAGGTTTTTCTCCGGGGTCTCCGATTTTTTTTCCCACTCCAAAACACTCCAAATTTCAATTCGATGCGCGAACACGAGTTCAAGCTTCGTGAGCAATTAAAACTGATCTCTTGTGCATTTTTTTTTTTTAATGAAACCATTGAAATGTTTATGTCAGTTCTAACCGGATCAGTTTGGTTATAACGTAACTCTTTACTGAATATTTCAGGGGGCTGGCTTCTTATCCTGAACATTGTGATTGACGACAGTTTATCTCAGACTCTTAACAGTCCGGAGATGTCTTACCGCAAAATCGACAGTTACCGTAACCACAACATGATTATTGCTAACAGCGCAATCAATGAGTTGAGATCACACTTACCTTTCACTCAACTAAGATTCCACTGTAACAAACAACACGGACGTACAATCCACATGACCACGGTCGCTGACAGCACTGGTGAAGCTGTGATAAAGTACTTCACAGGTCAAACAGAGACCATGCCTTCAAGCTGTGGGTCATTTGTACGGATGGAGGACGACAACTCATACCTCACACAACTCTGTAACCTGTGGGGAAAAAACCATGAAGGCCACTATTTCTCCGGGACATGGAGTCACCAAGGAATGCGTGAATTATACGATCATCCAGCTTTCATAGTAAATTTATTTCACTGGGTCACCCTTCCAGAAGAAAACAGATGGGAATGCGATGACTTCTTAAATCAGCCGTCTTCTGGAGACTTCTGGAAGGTTTACGTTCGTTGAATACCGTAAACCTCTGCCTTAAACTTATGAGCCTTGGGCTTGTACAACTTCGTAAGGGGTTTTTGATGGGTTTATTAACGGAGGGTCCTATATCCAGGGGGGGGGGGGGGAACTACAACAGTGTTTATCGAGATACGTTTTTAATATACTGATTTTCAATTAAGATTTAAAACATCCCAATGAATCGAATTCATTTCATTTTAAACTAGGAGGGGCTTATGATGGGAAGTAACATTTTGTTAACAAGTAGATGGGCCTACAACCGGGAAAGCTTATGAGCGGCAGCTGTTTACGGTAACACTCCATAAAACAATTGGATAGTTAAGTGCTAAAAACTAAACTTCTATGTCCTTTAGAGCAACTGTTGGCTTTTCGCGCCACCAATTACCAGTCCGTTTCTATCAAACAATTAGATTATGAGCTCGAGATTTCTATCGTGTGATAGTTGACGAGGGCGCAGCCCCCGTAAACTACCACGCATAGAAATCTCGAGCTCATAGTCTAATTTTTTCAGTATAAATCTACTAGTATAAATCTACTAGTCGTTCAAAACTCTACTAAAACAATTCATGCCACCACGGTCTACCAGGCGTAAGGGGCACAATTTTGGACACATATGATCACACGTGAATGATTTTTGAAATACCCTCCGTAAGATTAACCCTTCAAGCTACTTTGATAGTTTGAAAACACAAACGTTGCCTTGATGGCAAAATGACTAATCTGCATGGTGCTCTAATGCAATAAATTCCAGTCCACTATGCTATGATGTAATAAATTAAGTACAGCTTGCTGCGATATAATAAATTACAGAACACCTTGCTGTGATGTAATAAATTACAGTACACCTGGCTGTGATGTAATTAATTCCAGTGCACCTTGCTTTAATGTAACAAATTACATGAACAGCACACCGTGCTTTGATATAATAAATTACAGAGCACTTTGCTGTGATGTAATAAATTACATGAACCGTACACTATGCTTTGATATAATGAATTACAGAACACCGTGCTGTGATGTAATAAATTACCATGAACTTTGCTGTGATGCAATGAATTACAGTGCACTTTGCTGTGATGTAATAAATCACAGCCCATGTTGCAATGATGTAATAAATTGCCGTGCACTTTGCTGTGATTTAGTAAATTACACAACACCTTGATGTAAAGTAATAAATTTCAATGCACCAAGCTGTCAAAGAATAAATTACAGTGCACCATGTTGTCATGTAAGAAATTAAGTGTACTATGCAGTGATGTTATAAATAAATGTGTAAGTTCCCTAATGGCTTATGGGTTCTTTTAACTCGAGATACAATTCTTGCGAAGCAGCCATTTGAAACTACAAACTGTATGAAGTAAAATGTGCACTAAAATTTTGATTACATATTTCACCTTATAAGCTGAACTAGTTCTGGTTAAGGATAGCGCTTAACTTGAATTCCACAGCTGATTCTTTCAGGAAGTGATTGCACTCGGAAGTTTTTCACTTGTTAATTTTACTGGCGGCAATTCAGCCAATAAATCGATCAGTCAATCCGTCAATTTATTACTGTCAATTCAGTACGACAAGGTTGCCCTCCATATCTGAGCCACAGGGCTCATGTATAAAACGCATGAATATTAACGAAAAATTGAAAGACACTTAATATACTAAATATTAATTCAATTAGAATATATTAGCAATCATTGAAATATGAATAGAAGTGAAAAATGCATAAATGCTTTACAAACGCTAGTAGAATAAGGAAACTAAGTAGGTATACATCTCAAGTTAATATATATAGGAAACTATGATTACATCTCCAAAATTTTGTCGAGGATCATATTTGAGGATACAGTACCCATGTAGTCGCTTGATATGAAGACGTTCGAAGATGAAACTTCAAGGTAAGATTTCTGCCTTATAATTTTGTATAATGTTTTTAAATTTTTGTCGTTTGATATCAAATTTGCAATTGTTGTTGGTGACTGTGTTTGTCAATATTTTATCAATATGACAACTCAAAGATTCGTAGGACGTTCTCTTGCATGATGAATGATCCATATGAATAAAAAAAATTAAAAGCAGTTTGAGAGCTGTGGCGATAATTTTCATACCCCGTATGATAGCTTTGTTGGTCTAAAAATGAGAAACATAGCACGCCATATGTTCCACTCCGACTTAGTTCTCAAAATATATTGTACAACTGGAGAGGTCATCATTGAGAAATACCCCAAACACTTCATATAACCCATGAGGTATCTGAAACTGGACACTGATCCTGATGCAGTACAAAACTACTGGACTAGGATTTATCATGTATCAGTGTAACCTGCTATAGCCCGCACATAAGGGGATGATGAATGAGAGAAACACGCTGTACTATTAGTG